CGCAGGAGCCCGAGGGACGCGGGTCCGGGCAGAGGGCCGGCGGGGCGTGTTTGATGGCTTCACTGAGAAGAGTCAAAGTGCTGCTGGTGTTGAACTTGATCGCCGTGGCCGGCTTCGTAATCTTCCTGGCCAAGTGCCGGCCCATCGCGGTGCGCAGCGGAGACGCCTTCCACGAGATCCGGCCGCGCGCTGAGGCGGCCAACCTCAGCGCGCACAGCGCCAGCCCCATCCAGGATGCTGTCCTGAAGCGTCTCTCCCTGCTCGAGGACATCGTGTACCGGCAGCTGAATGGTAAGCGTGCGCGCCGGCTGGCTGGGGCACCAGTTTAGCCCGTAGTCCTGCGCTCGCGGTGCACAGGCGCCAGTGGGGCGCGGGAAGGGACCTTGCAGCGGCGCCGGCACCTCAGCGAGCTCTGTGCGCTCACCCTTGCCACTCGCGGGCTCGCCCCAGCAGCAACTTTGCTTGTCGGCTGGAAGCGTGTCAGTACCTCGGCTCGGGCCTCGAGCCGTCGTGACTGCAGCTCAAGCAGCAGCAATCGGATGGGAACGCGGGCCGAGCCTGAGGGAGGAGATAGCCGCCTCCACGCGTGAGCGCTGCGTTGTGTTAGGGTGGAGGCGGACGGGGAAGTGGGCTGAGCTGGTCCAGGGGTTTCAAAGTCTGCAGAAGGGTTGGGCAACTCATTGGCTTGGGTAGGAAGTTGAGTGAATAGGGTCAAGGTCGCATGTCGTTGCTAATGACCAGTGCGCCTTTCCCATCTCCACTTAGTGGAGGGAAACTATTAAAAATAAACAAAAACAACTCCCCCAGCACTCCAGCCAGGAGCCACTCCAGATTGTTCAGAGGGTTTTTATAGCGTGGTGGCAAAGCGAGGTGGGGCATCCCATGGGTGGCCATTGGGAGAATCTGCCACATCTAAAATCCCCTCCACCATGAGTTAGAACAGGGAAGCTTTTCTCCTCGTGCCTTGGTCACACTTGGTCCAGGGACACCAAGGGTCAGTGGATACTGGCTGTCCCCAAGATCAGAGTGTTACCAGCTTGAGCAAGAAGCTCACCCAGGCCCACATGGTAGTTAGTTACCTGAGGCAGAGACAGCCCTTTGGGGACAGGCTGCCTCCTTCCTTGCCGACTCAAACCTCCCTGCGGTGTTCCTGGACCTGTGACCCCGGAAACCAAATTCACGTCCAACGAGTAGATGCCGACTCAAAGTGACCTTTTAGAGCAGGGTAGAACTACCTCTGTGGTTTCTGAGCCTGTAACTCTGTATGGGAACAGAAAACCTCATTTTCTCTGGAGGAGGAACAGCTGGTGGGTTCTAGCGACTGACCTTGAGGTTCGCACCCCATCCCATAACCCTGACACCACCAGGCCCCCCTCTCAGAACCATGAACTCGTGATACGCACGTGTAGAATTCTAGCTGTGTGCCAGGCACTGTGGAGCTGCACCTGGTGTATTGTGTCACCTTGTGCGTTTCCATCCAGGTAGATTCTGCTCCACCCCCCTGGCTGTGGCTGCTCCAGGTCAACGATTTTATTTTCTCGCAGTGAACTGTCTTACTGGGTGGTCTAGCCTGCTGTCTCTCTGGGGCCAGATTGCCAATGTGGTTAGAACTGCCACCATTTCCAATTGCCAAATGAAAGTGTAACCATCGGCATTCCCAGGATTCCTAAACCCCCAAAACTCATTGCCATTGAAACGATTCTGACTCATAGTGATCCTATAGGACAGGATAGAACTGCCCCTATGGGTATCCCAGACTGTAACTCTATGGGAGTAGAAAGCTTTGTCTTTCTCCTCCAGAGAAGCTGGTGATCTTGAACTGCCGACCTTGCAGTTTGCAGCCTATTGCATACACACTACGCACGCCACCAGGGCTCCTCCTTTCCAAGGGTGGAAATGAATGAGCGAGGTGTGGAGTGTTTCA